AAGGATTGAATTTAGGCAGTAAAAATGATTAAAATGTTATTTTTTTTAAAAAAATTGCTTAAAAATTAAGGTGCGTCTTATAGTCTGTAAAATACGGTATACAACATCAATACATAAATAACTGATTTATTTGAAAAATAAAATTACCTAATAATATACATAACTGCATGTTTTTATTTACCATAACATCATCAGTTCCTAGAGGAAAACAATAAGCTAAATGAAAAGCATTGCCATAATAATGCAAAACAAAGAAATGTAATTTTAGTGACAAAAAATAATTGATAAGTAATTGCTGGATCTACAATATATGCTAGTGTATAAGTAGATATCAAGATTTTCAGTTGAAAATTTCTTCACACTATCTCTAGGCTAAAACTGAAATGTAGATACAGAATACAGTGGTGCCTCATATAACGGACGCTGTGAACAATGGACTTTCTGTTTGGCCGTTACATGACTCAAGCAACGGACTGGCTGTGAACAACAGACTTTCCATTCAGCAGTTACATGAGGTGAACAACATTTCTGCGAACAAGTTGTGAATGATGTTTCCACTCTTTTGCCATTGCCAATGACAATCTACTATTTTTAGAATATATTAGTATTATTAGAATATATTATTAATATAACTGAAGTACAGAGCTCCCATTGGGATTCGGCTTGCTCCCTTGTTTATTACATACTGTACCTCACCTCAGTGTAGGGTATTTACATTTATTGAAGTGTTGTGCAAATATTGGCTTCTAAAAAAACAGAAAGGTTATCTCAATTGAAACAAAGCAAGAAATCATCAGGAGTGAAAGTTGACAAGGACTTCTTTGTCAAATTGGAAGAGTTTCAGGAGTTTACCAACACTCATTATCCAAACAGAGCTGAGGCCAACAGGATCAATGATCTCTACAATGACACCCTTGCCTGTCATTTTCGACAGGTGTTGAAGAAGAGAGAGATACAGACCACCTTGGACATGTTTTTCAAGAAGCCAACTGCCAAAAAACAAAGGATGGAACAAGAGGAGTTGACTCTGCAAGCCCCAGTAGCCTCTCCTGAATCTGACTCCGATTAAAAACCAATAAAAAGAGACATGCTGCAATGTGTAAAAAGTCTGTGTCTGTATGAATGTGTGAAGAAAGTGTTCCTCCACCTCCTCCTCACAACATCTGACTACCCGGCATAATTGGTGACTGCTCCATTTTCATTTTTTTTTATGGTACAGTACGGTTATTTTATGCTGCGGAACGAATTATGTTTTAACATGTATTTCTATGGGAAAATGCGTTTCGTATAATGGACTTTTCACTTAACAGACATGCACCTGGAATGGATTAAGTACGTTATACGAGGCACTACTGTATAATAATGTAGAATAAAAGCATATAATAATATGCTTTTATCCTAGGCCATGCTCTTTTTGATAAGCATGACCTAGAAGAAGAAAGAATATGATTAAAATTAGAGAAAGATTTCTGACAACCAATATTAAAATTTTTAGATATTTATAGGACAGTGATGCTCAATATTTTGATTTTATATATTTTAGTTTTGAAAAGGTTTGTTTGCAAAAATACATAGAAACAAAAATAGAAAGTATCTCCCATGTAAACTTATTAAAACTTAAAATTCTCTTCTTGCAGAGATTTGTAAAAATTTAACAAACTTCCTTCTTAAGATTTTTATAAAAATCACATAAAGCAAGGTCTTTTAATTTTAGTTGACTTTTTAAAAGTGTGTATACTTTAAAGAAATTTGAACTAGTTTAAACATTGATGATAAAACAAGTCAGTGAAAGCAAGCTATTCAGACTGGATAAATATGCTTTGGACCATATTTGGCCCTCAGGCAATAGGTTGGAGACTTATGTGGTATATGACAGAAGTGTGAGATCTGTGATTTTACACATTTGTCGAGAAATTTGTAAACAGATTCGACAGCAAAACAATCCCGGGAAGAATTAGAGCAGAGGCTACAATTAGTCAAAACAATCCTATGGGAAAATTGACTCACAAGTATCAACTTGGCACCGTAACTGTCAACATTGAACGAACGTGTGACACTTTTTCTCACGATGAAGGGATAAAAGAGAGAGTCACCAGAAGCTCAGGGGAGTGATTAATCAGGACGTCAATCGGTAGTTGTGTGCATTTTCATCTCCCAGACCTCCATAACTAGGACTGGACCAAGAAGAAGAGAAGCCATGGATGGAAACCCATCTGTGACAACGACCCGTCCATATGAATGAAGTTCTCCACATCGACTTTCCAATATGACTGAGAGGTATTTAAAAGGGGACTGAACTTGTAAACTCTCTCTCTGCATAAAGTGCATTAGAATAGGGAAATTAGGTTGAGCACGCATTTCATAAGAATTTATTGTTCGCATTTGTAACTGCATTTATTCACTTCAGTTTGTAACTGCATTTATCCATTTATAGATCTGTATCTTCTAGGTTTAGTTTATAATAAATTTTATATTTTGTTACGTTAAAACCTGTCTTTTGTTTGTCCACGGACTTCTGCTGACCTACCGATGCACTCCCCACTCAATTTGTCATCCAACGACCTCGAGATCGGGTTTTACCAGCCCGTGCAGATTAAGTGGTCAGAAGAGATTAAACCCTGACCCCCTGCTTATCACACAGAAGTCTTCAACCTTATTACTTTAGTACTGTTTTGCTTTTACTTTGCTATTTGCATCAGTAAAGTATTGTTGATCTACTAGCTGTTGGAAATAGCATATGGTATTGTATTCATTTATATTGAATTTTTATTATTATATTAATCTCTATGTTAAATAAAGTTCACCAAACATGAGTTTTAGTTAGAACTACTTGTGATGGACTGCTGCAGTTATAGTAAGTGGTACACAATGTTTAGAACATTATTCTACTTTTTTACCACTCTATGATAAAGATTTGCATTTATATCTGCCATATAAGTTGATCCTTAGTTTTATATATTTTTTTAAGGCTTAAAAGGTCAGCTTATACACCAGCATATGTGGTAAATTAATATAAAATTAATAGAATGCAATGATAAAATTAATATTGATGATCTACAGAATCTGGAAACGAGACACTATAGCATTTTAACACTTCTTCCAGCAGTTATTTCTGAAAAATACAGTTTTTTTGGCCTCATCAACAATTCTCCTTAGATATATGAGCAGGAAAAGTTTGAATGAGCTTCCAAAAGTTTAATAAAATTTAATGCAGCTAATGATATTGGAATGTTCTATGCATTCAGAAATTTTAAAATTGGCCAAAGTCTAATGAAATTTGAATTTCATAAGAGATTATTTAGAAAAGCAATTTTACTTAATTCAGAAAATTTCATTTAACAAAACACGAATTAAAAAGAAAAACAAAGTTATTAAAATTTGTAAAATACGATTTTGATTACTCAGAGTTGATATGCACTATTGACTTTGAGTTGTCCACACTTATCTAATTAAATGCTATTTTCAACAATGGAACTAAAAAAGAAAAAAAATTCTAACAATGTGCAGTTTACACACACAATGCCAAACAGAATTTCTGATGTATAAAATTACATATTTATTAGAACAGAAGAATATTTTACATTTTTCTAACAAGATTGCATGAAAAATAAAAATCTTTCGTCATTACAGAGAAAAAACATTCACTATTCAGAGCCAATTTTACCATTAGGCAAATCTACGCAATAGACTAGGGGTGCTAAGATAAAAGATCATCAGTCTTACTCATAAACAAAGAAAAGATATGTCATTAATTAGTGTTAATTAATAAAAATTTTGTTAATGTTCAAAATATTATTATTATAAATATCCACATGTGTTAGTGTACTTGTACGCTTCTATCAGTATGACAATATATACGATCTGCTCGGAAACAAAATGGAAATTTTAGAATACAACAAAAATAAAATTGTGTGTGAACCATAAATCTGAATAAATTTATTCTAAGATCAGTCTTTTACTGAAAGTGATTTGTAATTAATTTAGTTTCATAATAACATAATTGAAAAAGAACCAAAAGATCACTCCAGGGATGATGACAGTAGCAGTAGATGGCAATGGCGCTTACCAATATGTTCCCCTGAGCATCTCATATATATACATGCAATGCATAGGGGTGCCTAAATTTTCTTTGTTTAGAAGTGTCAGATACTCTTATAGACATCTCTCTCACTTTATAGGAAGGAATTTCAAAATATACATTGGTGAACTGCATTGTAGAAATTGAAAGAATAACTTTATTAATTAATTTAAAACAACATAAATGGATGATTTCTTCTTATATCAAAATCAGGTTGTACAAGTAGAACATTATACAAGGATTGCTATAATTTGTGAACCATGTTATATCGAAGCTGTGTTGTATAAGTACCAAATTATACAAGGATTACCTGTACTGTACCTAGTAAAAATTTTAAAAAACAGTTTTTCCCATTTTTTTTTAATATAGTGTAAGATTTAAGGCTAATCAAAACTTTATTTAAAAAAAAAAGTAAAATACCTTAGAGTAAAAATAAAGATGATTTTAAAACTTTATCACAACACTGTGAAATACAGAAAACTTGCATCCAAAAACCTTTTACGGTGCGACATTAAATAAAAAGAAAAAGTTCTCACAAACATTTTCGAACCGTCATAAGGTTCTTCATCAGGTGAGTAACGGAAATTGTAAAAAACATTTGATGGAAAAAAAAAAGATTTTGAAAGAGACTTGATTATCGAGTCAAATGATAATTTCTGCAGCTGTTGTCACCAACAGGCATGCGAATTCCTCAGAAGCAAAAATTTTTTTATTTTTTAGACTTTATCCGTTGTATATAAGCATTTACTATTCTAGGGATAGGGATAACACCTCTTTATTGTTAATACATTTGTTATCTTGGCCAGCTCTTGGCTAATGGTAACTTCCACCAACAAGTCTTAGAGATAGCACATTTGTTATGCAATATAATGCATTATTTCAATTCAAAGGCACAGTGTACATGCAAGGAAGGGGTGTACCAATGGGGAGTCCTATCTTAGGTGATTTATGCAAATTAGTAATACGTCAACTAGAGGAAAAGATCCTCTCTCTCCATCTCCCAAGCATCTTATTATACAAGAGGTATGTGGATGATATCCTCATTTTATGGAATGTTAAGCCAGATGTATCAGCCTTCTTAGACTTAGTCAATGACAACCAATATGGCTTAACTCTGAAGCTTGATCAAGCGCACGACACCCAAGTTTATTTTCTCGATATCAGCATTGGAGTCGATGGAATGATGATCTGCACGGAGGTGTACAGAAAACTGGATTCAGAGACCCTGTACATACCGATAGGATCTTGTGACCCTTTTCATTATAAAATGGCAGCATTCAACACTTTAATTAAGAGAGCTTACACTCATTCCTCAACAATGCATGCTCTAGAAACTGAACTTAAGATTATATCTCGTATAGCTGAGCGCCATGGATACCATAACCATATAACTAGCTTGTCCAGGAAACTACACCATCTCCAAGTAGCTGCGCAAACCACTTCACATGGGAAAGGAAGACCGGATCCTAAAGACAGCATTCCTATTACATACAACCCGTTTCTACAAAAGCTTTTCTCTGAGATTGCTAGGAAGAAATGCATCAGCATCGCATACAGGAGATGTCCTAGTGTATTTGCTCTACTCCATAATGCTAAGGAGAGATACTCTCAACCAGGACGTGCTATCTGGAGTATATATCATCCCGCTAAAAGATCATACGTGTGATGAGGATTTAATATACATTGGCTCCATTAAGTGTTTATTAGGAGTGAGAATAAAGAAACACAAGACAGACATATAGCACAAGAGAGTAACAACTGCTCTATCTTGTTATGCTACAGATCCTGATATTCAACCAATATTTAATGAAGCCAGGATCATCCACACCACACCTCATACGGAGCATTTGAGGTGGATGGAGGCAATTCATATATACAGTGCTGGCCAAGATAACAAATGTATTAACAATAAAGAGGAGTTATCCCTATCCCTAGCATGGCAAACGCTTATATATGATGGATAAAATCTAAAAAATAAAAAATTTTTGCTTCCGAGGAATGTGCATGCCCGTTGGTGACAACAGCCGCAGAAATTATCATTTGTTTCGATAATCAAGTCTCTTTCAAAATCTTTTTGTTTTCCATCAAATGTTTTTTACAATTTCCGTTACTCACCTGATGAAGAACCTTATGACGGTTCGAAAATGTTTGTGAGAACTTTTTCTTTTTATTTAATGTCACACCGTAAAAGGTTTTTGGATGTTTTTTCCATTAAATTTACAAGATCTGCAATTACTAATAAATTTTGGAGTTTAATTGCAAATCTTGCAAAAATAATAATTTTATTCTTAGACCAGTATAAAATTAGTATTTAACAACTAAAACAATTAAAAAAAACACTAAAAACAACTAAAATATTTTAATTTTTTAATGTTTTTTGGGGGGTCATCCAAAAAAAACATTAGTAATTGTTTTAAAAACATTTTTATAATTATATAAATATAATCTTTGAAGCTCAAAATTTCATATGAAAATATTAAATACTTTCAGTTGAGTTATTGGAAATTTTAATTGTTATTTGGGGTGAGTTTAATTAATTAAACTAAAATTTGAGTTTCAGATAAAGTCAAAATTTTGGTTAAATGAATTATCATGAAAGAATATTCAATGAAATTTATTTCCACTAAGTTTATGCAAAATTGGGAAATAAAAATATTGTCTTTACAGTATGGTGAACTAACTATATGCCAATATAATTAGTTCATTTTATTATAATAACTGTTTTTTGTTTTTATTTAGAACTGGTCTCCACTGTATTTAATATAAAAAATAAGTAGTGATTATCATAATGTTCATTATTCCATTTTGATATTTTACTGCTATTTTACTATATAAAAATAGTTTTTCTATAATTTATTGGTTCCTAATTGAATGTAATAAAATTGAGGTAAATTAGAGCTTTAAAGATGATTTGATCTTAAAACTCTACAAATAAAAATTGTTGATGTTTTATTTACTATTTTGATGTTAAAAATTATAACAAGTTTTATTTATAAGAATTGATTGCCAATTGATGTAACTTAATTTTTCTCAAACTTTCTAAGTGTGTAGAGTAATTGAAAATATTAAAAAGTTTAGCCTCACCTCTGTGAGTACAAATAAATTAATTGAAAATAATGGAATGACAGCTTCACTGCAAAATTGTTTGCTTTGTATGATGCATTGATTATATTGAATTGCACAGAGAATTGTTATGGAAATAAAAAGTAAAATAGACATCTTCAAACTGAATGGAAAAAATATATATTAAAAAATGCTATCTGGAGTTTAATTAAAGTGTTGTTTAGTTTGCTGATTTATAAAATGGTTATTGTATAAATTCAAGTCAGTATTTTAATCAATTTCATTAATAATGTGCAATTGATAAAAAAAAAACAATGCAGTATAACAAATTGGTGCAAAATCAACTAATACATTATGCTGTTCTATTTGGGGAGTGGGGATTAGAAATGATGTTGACATGCATAAAAGAATTTGATGCTATTTTAAAACTTATACTTCCACCTCTTCATTGTAAATTAATAACATACAAAATTACAGCTATTTATGTTTATTACAGACAATAATCTGTCCAAATGACAAACTTTGTTTATGGTTTAATTTAATGTTTCTAGACATAGTCCATTCCATCATGTAATGCAATTTTGGACTGGATATGGAAAGATAATGGAAGTGTAATAGGTATAAAGTTCCAAATTAACATACTATGATATTTTTATATAACAAATATAATACTTCAAGAACTGTGTACTGAAGAAAATGTTCAGACAGTAAGAAAATCTTTAATTGTAGTTTCACATCATTTGATAACAATCTTCTACCCTAAATACATCCAAGAGCAGGTTGGAACAGATCTTGCAGAATATTAATTTCCACTAATATAAGATTTAACATGTTACTCCTTCCTGCAATTTCAATCATCTTAATAATATAGTCTTAACAAAATGCATATTATTTATTGACTAGATAGTTTCTGTCAAGTATGATGGGAACTACGTAGTTAATAGTCTTGCCTTTTGTTCTAGTCAGGTTGGTCACAGCCCTCTTGTTAATATGTGGGGAAAAGGACGCAATAGGCTGTTTACATCATATGGATAAATTGTTAGTTATTCCATCTTTGTGATACAGTAGAGTCTCGAAAACTCGGCACTCGATAACCCGGCAGTCCGGATAACTTGGCCACACCCTGGCAGGGCAAAAAAATTCCTTANTAGATTATTCTGGAAGAAAAGAATTGGCCATATAAGATCGGGCTAAAATAGCCCAATCTTATGTGCCAGTTGGTATGACTTTATACTAATGTACAGGATTTTGAGAGACGTTTATAAATAAATGTATTGAATTGGATGCTACTGCTTTTATCTCAGAGATTTGCATGAATAATCTTTGCAATTTCAATATAATTACTGTAATGTTTCATTGTAAAGTATATAAACAATGCAATGAGGCTTCCATTTCTTGAATTTTCTATTAGAATTTTTTTCAATTTATATACCTTTGAGTTTGAAATAATTTAGCTATGTTAGCTCAAAATTTCTTTAAAGAAATTAATTTAAAATTTTTAAAATAAATTATTGATTGTAATATTAAAAAAACTAATGAATGATTTTAATTGCTTCAATGATAACATTTAAACAGTAAACTTTTAGCATTTAAAAAGCATTTAAACTTACTTTACTATATTGTAATAATTAAATTAAAATAAAATATTTTTTTAAATAGGAAAGATTATATAATATAATGAAAATTATTAAGAAAAATGTATAAATATCATTTTATTCATTTTCCAATCATATCCATGCTATGAAAATATGTATGTCACATTAGTAGGTTTTTATGGGAAAATATTATATATTAAGTAAAGCTAACTTTATCAAAAGCTAAATTAGCTTTTGATAATTTGGGAGAAAATTTGTGTGACAGTTTCTTAATTTGTATCTAAACACGTATCAATAAGTAAACAAAAATATATTTGAATTATTTTATTCAGAATTTATTGTCTATTCTAATTCATATTCATAAAGCTTTTAGTTAGCAAATATACATGAATAAAACATCAACTTAAGTCTAAGCCAATATATAATTGGTAAGAGAATCATATCAAGTAATGTTATTTATTAATAAGTAATTGTAATAGATATTATTTGGGGAATTGGGAATTATCATAAAATGGAAAAAGGTTCATAAATAAGCTTTATTCAGTTTCAGAAAATTTTTTAAAATTTAATGCTTACTGAATAGCATATTAATGAGGAAACCAAAAATTTATTATGTTTAGAATATCAAACTAATTTTTCATATGTGAGTCATTTATTTTGAAAGTGGCCTAAGTCCATTTATGTTAAAATCGAGACATTTAAGGGTTTGCGTCTTAATAAATTTAAAAATATCTGAATAAGCGTAAATTGGTTATCTATCTTTTGGTTACTCGTTTCAATAAGTTTAACTATTCGTGACCATAACTCTGCAGTTGAGATGTCGGATGTTTCAGGATTAATGGATTCTGTTAAATTATTAATATTAGAGTTCTCACCTGTAGCAGTTGAAGAAACTGTTCTTCTTGTTTTCGTATAATCAGTTATAAGATTTGTTTTCAATCCTGAACGGTTAATAGGTGGTCTGCCTCTTTTTGTAGGTGTTTTCTGCAGAGGTCTTGGGTTAGATTCAATGCTGGATATTAATAGTAACAGAAGGATTAGTTTATAACTAATCATTATGAATCACAAAATAAATATCTTCTTAAGATAACTAGTTGAAAAAAGTAACTTTGACAAGGTGGAGAAAAAATTTCACCAACTTTCTTGGCAATTGGAATGCCCCCTTTTTTTTTCTAAAATGTAAAAATATTGGTAACTAATAAAATGGTAGTATAATGTTTTTGTGTTTCTAAGGGTGTATAATTTATCAACCCAATTAGCATTATTAACATTGTTTAAAAAATATGTTTTTGATGGCTATAAATGGACTTAAGCCACTTAGAAAAGGTTTTTCATTAATTTTGAAATTCTTAAAAAGGCATAAGTCCATGGAAAAAATAACTTTTCCCTCAAAATAAAAAGAAATATATACTATTTTATGTTATAAAATTAAAAAATATTCAACTTTTATTCACTATTTAAAAAATGTTACATTAAAATTAACAATGTTTTGCAACTAATTATTCATTCTTCTAAAATTTTTGCATGCAGGAGAGATTTAAAATAATTATGGTGTGTACAGCTATGTACAGCATTGCCAGATGCTTTGTGTTTGTAGCCAAAAATTTTCTATAAAGTAGCCCAAAGGTAGCCAATTCAAAAATTTCCTTTTTATTTCCTTTAAAAGGAAAATTTCCTAAATTTTCCTTTTAAAGGTAGCCTCAAAAATTTCCAAGATTTGACAATAAAATAAAAAAACACCATTTGTGCCTTTCCAGCAATAACTTTCATCACAAATGTTTTCGGCCAATTTACAGGCCTGTAAACTGATTGGATGGAAATAAGGATTGCAAGACTCAAAATACATGCACACACTGTAATTTACTCTGTCGAGAACACTCATTTTATCTGCAACAAATGATCTTGCCAAGACGGACTATAAAAAATTCATTTTTCTATGTAATATTCTTGTGACCGAAGGGTCGGCACCTTTTTGGTGCCCTGTCAGGATGACACCACCACGTCTCGGCGGACATGGAAGCCGCGTTATTTAGGTCACACGAGCGGTCGCATAACGGAGCGATCAGAGTCGAGATAGAAGGAGAGACAACGCACCGGAAGTGATTTACTCAGACGCTTTTTAACGTAACAACTGTTTAATGGTTAACGATAGGCTATACATTAGGGCTGCTGTTAGATACATTTCTCGTGTTTGATAGTATTAAGATATTACGTTGTTCCTCGATTTGAGAGAGAGAGTTTACAGAAGTTTTGCGTGGCGATAAATACCTTTTGTTTTTGCTGTCTTGATGGAGATTCTCAAGCGGTCTTGGTGAAGGGAAGAAAGTTCGGAATGTCAGTCCGGTAGAGGAACTATCCGTAAGAATGATAGAACAGTATCCGCAAGGGTGTTAGTCGATGTTTCCGATGATCTTTTTGTAGATATCCGAATAGTAAGGCCCTTAGGACAAGGTACTAGTGACAACTTCTCTTTTCGAAAGACAGGCGACGACTGCCACTTTGTTGTTGGTTTTTTCATGTTGGATTGTTGAAACGAAGATATTAGGTCAAAAGGTGCTGAGAAAGCGTTGTTATTACGCCTGAGAACTTAGCAGATGTTTAGCTCCCAGGTGTAAAAGTTGACAGTTGTCGAATGAAATTATGGCTACAAAGTGAAATGATATAAACACATGAGAAGTCCGAATTTGGATCCTCACATTCTTAATGGTTATTAATTTGCTATTACACAGGATTTATCAAACTACAAATACATAAATGAAAATATGTGTGTTCTTGGTGTCAATTTATGATTTCACTCCCTTCTTAGAGTGAATTCTATATGTACTTGGTGATTTTGTTTTTACCTTTTTAAGGTTTTTTTAGGGGGTAAAATTATCAGGAAACTTAAGAAAAGTAGATTGTGGGTGCACAATTGGGTTACCATTATCAATTTGCATCACATTGATAATCNTTATATTCTACAAGTTTTTTTCTGTACTATAATTACAAATGTAGTAAAAATAATATCTTTACTTTCATATATTAACTTTTATTATCGTATTATTAAGGTAAAATACAGCACTTATAAGCTTCACTTTTTTATTATATACTCCTCTAAATTAAAGGATTTTTCTTTGGTGTCCATAGAAATAATGGTTTTAGGCATCTATTATTATAATCGGGATACCTCTTATCATAGGTACATGAATACTTTTGGATGTTTTTGATAAATCTTTCCAGATCTATTCTAGAGTAGCTACGAGAGAACATACACAAAAGCTAATTTTCTGCAATTTTTGCACCGTGTTACAATGACCTAGATTTCACTGACTTCTGATTGATAGATGGTACCATTTTATGGCCATATTTGCATCGAAAGTTGAACACTGCTCAACTCACTTTTACGCTGCTTTTACAACCTACTCAGGCATAAAATATCGTGGTCATGTGATTAAAAGCTTTTACAGCTAGGGGTTTTACACCTGTTTTTACGCTAGTGGAGTCTCAGCCTAATGTCATAAAATTTTACTGCATAATATACTCCATATCTGTTTGCAACTCTCAAAATGGGACTTAAGCCACTTTCAAAACAAAAATTTTTATCATTCTATTAACCAGCTAATTTTCGTTTTACAAAATCTTAGTGATTTTAAATATATTATTTACAATATGTTTCAAAATGAAAAGATAACATAGAAATGTAAATATTAAAATAGCTAGCTTGATTTTTTTGAAAAATGGACTTAGGCCACTTTCAAAATAAACAGCTCATATGTTAACTACATTTAAATATTTAAGCTGATACATTTTAATCTAAAATGTTTTTTTTTCCAGTGATAGGTATAAATGGAGGATTAGGAAATTAGAAAAGAGCAGAATCATTATTGACTTCTTAGATTTTACATACAGCATTGCATTACATCTGCAAATGCCCACATTGCAAGATGAATACAATGTTGAAAACAAAGAGAACTGTCTGCTTAGTGGTATCAACTTGGAATCTCTTAACATATGTAAGGAATTATTTTATAAATTTTTTACAACAAAATTTTACTATTAAATAAATAATTGAGCCATTCACAGACCAAATCGGTTAACTCCATTTGTAAATCCTTAATATAATCATTATTATTTTCAAATTTTTTGTGTAACAGAATTTATATATATAATAATACATTCTGCAATGTTTATTTAAATTTAAAGTTTAAAAGGAATTTTAAAAACTAATTTATATTCTCAATTTTTATACTTTTTGTTTTGTGGAGTTAATCAATTTGGCAAGTGAACGGCTCAATTGTTGTTCACTTGTATAATTAAATAGGTGAACTTCCTATTAGGAATATTGTTCTTTTATTCCCCTATTTTCATTACAGAATTTTTATTATTTTAATAACTTGCTGAAAAGTTATTTCAATATGCAAAATTATTAAATTTTAATATTTCATCTAAGTTTATCACAGATAATTGAAAATTTTATTTTAATACAGTCTTCAAGTATAAGGAATATCTACTTCCTTTTGTTGAAAAATCATTTGAAAACATCAGTAAGGAACATCGTAATCTTGAAAATGTTGCTAAGGTTAGTGAATTATTTTAAATAAAAGTAAAATTTTTAAAGTTTTATGATTCTAAATCTGCTAATTTAATTAGTACTAATTTGTATTTTTTTTTAAAATCTATATTAAACTGTTTTGTCTATATATCAGAATTCCATAATATTTTTATTGTTACAATATTGACATTGATCAATATAATACTTTATAGATGTTATATATTAGTTTTAATAAGAACAATTACTAATAAATTGGTTGAATGATTAAAATTAAAGGCTAATTTATCATAAAATATTTATTTATTTTAGTTAATGGAAGATTTATTATCTACTATTACCTATTATCATAAAATAATTGTTGATTTGAGCCTTGTGGGAGTCTTTCATGAAAATTCTTTAAAAGATTCAATGTAAGTATTGAATTTACTTTTTTAAAAAAACATACTTAGCAATTTTTCCAGTTTAAGAGATTTAAAAAAGTCTAAAAATAAATTTCAAAATGCAAACAATATTATATAGTAGATCTTGGGTGTAGTGGACTCTCTTCAACTCATGTAGCTATTAAAAATTATTGTATGTTTACAATACTATGCAGCAGTTCTTAAATAATAAATAAACTATTCTGTTTTGTATTTAAAAAAAAATGTAATTAGAACAGTAATCAGAAATAATTAAAGAAATTATATAGCTATTTTTATGCAATAATTAATTAATACAATTTGGTACTAGAACTGTTAAGTACAATTTTATGCTAAATTAAATAATTAGAAATTAATGATGAATTAATTTAGAGAAATTTAGAACAAAAGATCTGAAATAGAGTTGTATTCAAAACTGCAACTGCTGAAAACTATGTAGGCAGCATTACTAATTATACTGTCTAGGTTTCTGAAGTGTGGTGTCTGTCAGTTTTCATAATGTATGATTCATATGATTAATACTGATTTTGTAATTTCCTTCTTCTTTAAGATCCTATGAGTTTTTTTAATGCCTTCCTTTCATAATGCAAGGGAGAAATTACAGCATTGATGTACCAATGTTTGATTCAAAGAATGTCAGTGTTATGTAAACATGGAACTGTGAAAAGTTTGATGATCTTAAAGGGACAAAGAAATTCTATTTAAAAAAAATGGCACTGAAGATAAGGATGATATTTTTACTATTGTATTTACTCAAATATAAGACACATTGGATCTAAGGCCTGCATCACACTGGATCAGACAAAACAGTCTTAGTCAAGATGTTTTGTCTAAAGCATTTGACAGTTTAGCATCAGACCAGACTAGTCAATGTGTCTGAAATAAAAAAGCTAATACAGGTATCCCTTGATTGATTCAGTTAATTAATCCCACAATCCTATCAAAATTGCATTAATCAAAATATGGTATCTATGTTAAGTAAAGACAGCTAGTAAAGCTGCGTAAATTAAAATTTCTGCGGCGTGTATAAAGGGTTTGCCGCAATGAATTTTGTGCATTAATCAAATGCCACATTAAGCAAGAGATACCTGTACTCAGTTATGACTAAGTTGGTAATTGTTTAATGGAGTAAAATGGTAAAACCTGATCAGAATTTCAAAAAATGAAGGACAAAATATGAAACAAACTTTCTTTGTTAAAAATTCTGCATTTTTTATCTTGCAATGTAACTTAAGAATGCTTAATGTTAATACTTTTGTGGTGCCTGCAGTACAATGAAATTACATATATAAATATATGCTTTTTGGTCATCATTTTCAAAGTCTGTACTATCATTTTCAAGCTGCAGCTTTCAGACACTAATTATAAATAAATGGTCTTTCTCGTATCTATACCAACAACTTTTTACTATCAAGTTCCATTTTGCTTGGATGACTACTTGTGCTCTTGCTCTGGCTGACAGAGCATGCGCACAACAGTCTGTCTGATACACACTTCAGAGACGATGAAGCGTAAGATACCATCGTCTTTTTGACTAATCATGACTAAAACTGGCTCAAGCAAGACAACTGATCCACTGTATGGCATCCCCTTCAATACAATGAAAACACCATCGTTTTACTCTGTTTCAGATGGTTTTGTCTTGTCTCAATGTGACTAAGACTGTTTTGTCTGATCCAGTGAGATACATCTTAATTTTTACATGCTCACCCATGAATCTTTTTGGGGAAAAAAAACTTGAAACAAAGTTATGTTAGCAGAACTGATTCTATTGACACAAATTTGTTCAGTATTTATTGGAAGTAAAATAAATTATATCACTGTCTTAAATGATATTAAAGTTGAAAACCATTTCACCTTTTGTTTTAGGCTCTTCTGAATCTATATTTGGATTCTGTGCTTACATCTTCCCACATGCAGTCACACTCAGTGTCATTTAAAAAGCATCAGAAATGTAACATTTCTTGGAAGATTTCTGCATTAAGTATTTGGGATTTCTGTCCAAGTACTTAAGACATTGCTGTAAATTAATAGTAACAAGATTGAGCTAAATTGACCTAAAAAATTTTCTACTGGTCATATAAAATCATTAAAATGATGCAATTAGTAACTTATAGTGAGAGAGAAATAAAATATACCTTATTTTCAGATACTAAAACCTGAAAAAAAAATGCATTTTACATTCAAATAAATACAGTAATACAGTGGTTTTCAAACTTTCTATACCTCTGCCCCCTCTTTTTCAGAAAAAATATTGTTGTGCCCTCCTCAATTTTCATAACAATCTAATTTTGTAAATACTGTCCTTATAATTTATTCAATGGCCTGCCTACAAAACAATATTAAACCTTATTAAATAAAATATATTCTTTGCCCGGGCTCGACTCTTGTCACAACATTTCAGCAAGATGGATTTTTAGCATTTGTATCCAAGTCGTTCAGATGAGGGTTGTAGACATTACCGTTTAGGCATAACCATTTTTCTGATTCATTTTTTACGTCGATTTGACATTTTTGTTGTTTGTATTAAAAAATGATAATTTGATGAATACACCCCTTGCAATAGTCTCATGCCTCACAGGTTGTAAAACACTGCAGTAATGTATATGGTAAACATGTAATCTACTGCACTGTCTATTTAACAGAGATTTTGGGGGATAGTAATGATAAAAAATTAAAATAATTGAGCAGACACTGTAATCTGTAAAGGTAAAAATACATTAATAATGTGCAAGCAATAAAAAAAAAGCTATTTTTTATGTTACCTGGTAGTTTATAAAAAGTGCACTGCAGTTTCCACAAGTACTTAGTTTTGTTAAAGTACAAGAAGATATTTTTAATTTCTAACAGTGATTAAGAAATTGTAGATATTGTATTAACTCCATTTGAGCAGATTGAAACATGAAGCTATCAAAAAATGATAATTTCTTAACAGCAATTTTCTGTGTTACTTTTAAATTCTATGTAATACCCTGATCTGTTAGTTATCAAAGTAGTATTTGGTTGTGAACATTCAAGGTTAATTGATGTTAAATTAATTAATTAAGGTTGATTTTTGTGGCCTATGTAATTATCAGTGATGATAAACATCTTTCAGTTTTCATGTTAATTAACTTTTTGTTCTTTCTATATAATATGTCTCTGTAATCCAAACAAATTTGGTAGACAGACTCACAGCCAAACTTTCAGTTAGGAACTCACTTTTATTTTTAAAAAAATGACAAATGCATTTCAGGTTGGTACGTGCATCCAACCCCTCTTCAGTGCTAATTTTTAAAAAACAATAAAAAACTATAATAATCAGTACATGACATCAAATACACTACAAAATATTTCTACGTACTTACTCTTAAAAATAAAAATTGTGTATGGGCTACCAACACATCTAAACACCAACACCTGTTTTTCATCTTAGAATTATCGTACAAGCTTAAAGAGCACTTGAAGTGTTTGCATAACATCACTTCTAAAAACAAATTATTTTATGACTATTTTGTAGAATTAACAAAGGTATACAAAAACAATATATTACATACTGTTAAAATATGTATTTTGATATAAATAGTATACGAACAATCCACAAAACACTTAGCAAAACATTAGCACCCTTCTTCTAATCAATCACAATAATTTCGTTTTTTATTTCTATGTAACGCCCTCTATCATTTTGTACCAGCGAGAATCTATTTGCATACCATCGGAAATATTTATTAAATTGTTATTTTGGTTTTTCTTTATTTCTAAGTGTTCTTTGAATTTACGTTTATATGTGTCTTTTTCATGATGTAAAATTTTAATATTATTGTGATTAATTTTACAATTATTATTTTCCGTGTGTTCATACCATGGGGAATTTTTATATTTTAACTGAATAGCCGCTTCATGTTCCTTTATTCTTACATCTAATACACGACCAGTTTCTCCTATATACCTACATGGGTTCAGACAATTACATTCTAATTTATATACGACACCTGTCTTTTTAGAGGATCTATATTATCATGGTTACTTCTGTAAATCTCTAAACTCTAAATACTTCTGTAGTTGAAGTTGTTTCTGTGTGGATGCATAAAGTTTTATGTCATCCATGTACATGAGATGTGACAGTGTAAACTGTGTTGTTTTTTCATGTCTGATATTGTAGCCATATTGCGTGTTGTTTAACATGTTGGATAATGGGTTCAGGGCTAGGCAGAACCAGAGAGGACTCAACGAATCTCCTTGAAAAATTCCTCGCCTAATGAATATCTCGTTTGTTTGTATGGAAGTGTTACTAACCCTGAGATGTAGTGTTGTTCTCCAGTGCTGCATAGTGTTTTGGAAGAAAGCAATGAGTGACGGATGTATTTTGTACATGTGTAGAATATTTAGCAGCCAACTGTGTGGAACGCTGTCGAATGCTTTTCTGTAGTCTATATATGCCATGTGTATGTTTCTATGTTGTTTGTGTGCTTGTCGTAGAATGACTGAATTTATGAGTAACTGTTCTTTGCATCCCCTGTGATTTCTATGGCAACCTTTTTGTTGTTCCGTAAGAATGTCGTGTTCTTCTACGTGTTTGTATATTTTGTTTGTGATACAGGATGTCAATAATTTGTAGAGTGTTGGAAGACATGTAATTGGTCTGTATTGTGTGGGGTCTGTGGT